TTTTGCTGTCATACCCAATTAAAGTTCTGACTATAAGAAATTAGATTATTTCTTTTGCCTATAGAAGACTACTTGGTTATAACTTCCTAACAGCAAAAAACGATTCTATCAGAAATAGATGGATGATATCGGAAACTGGCCTGTTTCCTCCAGCAGTATATGAAAAGGTTATTGCCATCTTTTAGTTTGGAGCAATAGCCGAAAGTTGGGAACACAAGTTATATTTTACTAAGTTTGAAGGCTCACTTAAAAACTGCATAAAATGGAAAATTGAGTACTTTCTCACCATTCTATTGAAAACCATCGTGGAAAATATGGATTGATTTATATCAGCATAAGTTACAATATGGCTTACCCACACATGCACTGACTGTTTAGTATTATTGCCCTATATTTATATACAAATTAAAATTAAATTGTAACCATTTGTAATCTGGAGGCCCACGAATAGTGAGCGTAGAAAGACAGAACTACAGAAACTCTCCAGAAAATGTAGAAAAGCAGTGAAAAGGCTACTCCTGAAAATGGGGAGTGAAAGCAGAACATGTGGTAGAGATAAGTTCCTTGTTCTCGTCAAAAATAGACATTTCTTCCCTGGAAGCAGAAATATCTACCAAATCGAAAATTTCAAAACCTGTTTAACATGACTACCACTGCTATTTCGAGAAAGAATTAGGAGTTTTCTAGGTCAAGATGATTTTTAACTTCATCGGAACTAAAAGCAGAGTTAGAACTCGGCCAAACTTTTGGTCAATATATAAAATATGTTTATTTTATTAGTTTCTCTCTGTGATTGAACTGAAGTTAATGGTTTAAGATCTGCTGAATTCTTTCTCGTGTTATCACACAATGAATCCTTCAAAATGGCAGAGCTTAATTAAAATATAAGTTGCTGAACAGCTATTGTTGTTCACAATTTTCACTGTCGTTTATTGTACAATTAGTAGCAAATCCCCAGGTTCATTAAGCTAGAGACTCTAGACTCATTAAACGGCTCTGTGCACTCTGATTATTGCAGGCGGTTTTATTGTTTCCCAACATGTTGCGAACGAAACCAATAAAAAATAAAAGAAGAGCGTTATGAGGATACTTTGTACGATATTCTCTTTTATGAGGAATAAAAACGATATGACTAACTGTTAATACGCTATATCGGAGCAAATTAGATTCTCTACTTGCTCGGAATGTTTGTGCTTATAGACGAAAAAAACGATTTCAGAACCTGCCTGCACTATGTGTTAATTAAGAGGTGGAGTATATTTTTATTATTTAATTACAAAAGTTGAGTTTTGTACAAATATGTATATGTATATTATGAATATTATGAAATGTATATGTATGTATGTATATTATGATATGTATGTGTATATGAAAATTTATATTATGAAATTACAAATTGCTTGCATAAAAGAAAAAATAAATGGTATACTTATATTAAAATTAAAATAATTTTAATGAAGAACACGCTTATTGCTAGTCCCAAACAAATACTTTATAATTTTATTATTAATATTGTGGCAATATATCAGTTTAAAAAAATACTTTTAAATTAATTTCTGCTTTCTGTACTCGCTAAGTAACTTTCCTACTTATATTCTTACATAGACAACATCTTCAGAGGAATGAAGGTATTTTTAAATAAATGAATTATACGGAGTGGACCAGGCTTTTTTGACCAATTTTGCCTGTCGTTAAAAATGTTAACTTTTTTGAAAAATTACATAAAAACAGGTTTCAAAATTGTTTAATTTTACTGATACAGAGATACAGATAAAGAAAATGTTTTCTGATAATGTAAAACTCTCCGATCTTTTTATCAGCAATTTTTTTCCTGATCGAATCTCCACTCTACGAAACTGCGAAAAAATAGTATTAATTCAATACGTTCATACTATGGTGTCTGTGGGTTGCAAACAAATTTTCTTTCAGAAAATCCTAGTCAAAAAGATTTTCAAAATAATGTATAAGGCTTGGAAAAATGTAAAATTTAAAACTCTTGCCTTTTTTTAATTAAATCAGTTTAAAAACTATTTTTATAGAAACCTTTTCGCACTGATATCTGAACCTTCGCAACTGTGATTTTTTTTGCAAAAGCACTTGATCTACTTGCAACATATAGAAACTTACAAAAGTGCACTGATTAACAATTTTGCGGTTTATCTTATGAAACCTTCTAATTTTTACTGCCGATCTGGATTCTATTAGTATGAAGTAACTTAGAATGCTTGCTTCTAAACGTTTCCGCTAAGAAAATTTTAAAAACAAATTTAAGATTTTATTTTAACTAAACTATCAAGTGCTGAAGTTCGTCGATTTATTCGATCTGTATTTTATGTGCAATTTTAAAACATGTTAAAAGAAGAAGTATTTAATACCGGACAGTAAAACCATGTCGCCGGTGTCGAATTTAATTAAAAATATTTTATTTTAGACCTGTTGCCGTACACAAAAATTTAAAACGCTTTACATTATTTTTAAGAATCGAGCGAAATTGTTACTTTTTCTCATGTTTCTTGTAGACTTGAGGTTGTATTTCGTAACATGAACATCGGATGTGATGGAGTTGGGTAAACAATATCCTTTATAAAATCCGACAATATGAAATCGAGACGGATAAAAACTATTAAAGGTTCACATAAACTAACAATTGTCTTTGCAATCAAATAACGTAGGAGATATTCTTATTTAGAAGTATTTATTATTTGTGTTATAGTTCAACTATTTTTCTGGTTTCATCACAATATAGGGAATAATCCGTTTGGAACTTGAAAATGTATACCTAATTTACATAAGGCCAATTAAAATATTTTATCACTTTTTCTGTGGAGGTTTTTAGGTTTGTGAGTTTATAACTCAGGTTAGAAAACGATGATATAATAAAAAATCTTATGGCCACAATGGTAAAATCCCTTATTACTTTTTTTTCGCATGGATTATTTAATTTTATCTATGAGTATCATAACGGCAACTTCCATGCATGGATAAAAGACCACGAAAATGTTTATATCACCCACAGAATTTCAGACATGACAATCAGCTTCTATTTCATAAGAAAAATACTTCTTCATATTGCAACTTTTACTGTTTTAAAGCACAAATATATAATAGTTTAGTCCCGACCTCAATATA